AGGAATGCCGTGGCCCGGGGCGAACTTCCGGCGGAGGCCGTGCGCGGCGCTGGCCTCCATTGTCCCCGGCCGCAGCCTCCGCGCGAGGCGTCGCGCCGCCGGTTATTATCCGCGTGCCGCAGCTCCCGCAGCGCGCGCTGAACGCGCACTTGGCTCCCGCCCCCGCCCCCGCCCTCGCCGCCAGCAGCACTTCCCCCGGCGCCTGCTCCACCTCCAGTGCTGCCACTGGCCTTCTCGCAGCTTCATTCACGAACACCGCTGTAACCATTCTGTACCCACCATCACAACCACATACGCAGTCTTCCATAAGCACCATCACACCGACAAGCACCCTAAGTATTTACCCAACTACAATCTCTTTCACAAGAACCTTACCACTTCCTCAACAATCACCATCAACACTTGAACAACTCACCATTGTCAGAACAACCACCATTTCGTTATCAACCACCGACACTTCCTCAACCACCAGCACTATTTCTACAATCATCACCACGTCGTCAACGACCTTCACCACTTCCTCAACAACCACCAACACTTCCTCAACAACCACCAACACTTCCACTTACTCCACAACCACTACCATTCTTCCTCAACAGCCACCACTTCTTCAGCCACTCACTACCACTTTCACAAGCATCAATATCCACCAACCATTCATCAGCTCTCACACTTTGGTCATTGCTTTCATCACTAATGCTTCCCTCATCTCTATTACCAACACTAACGCCACAACCGCTACAATATCCACACCTGGCATCTTCATATTTTGTTTGCCCCTCAACCTCTTATTACTGACACCACCACCACCACCACGACCACTTTCTCCCTTTCCATTGTTGTATCTACTGCTGCCCCTTCAGTCATCCTTCATACGGGCTACTGCTCTTCCGCTTAACCACTGAATTTACATAAAATTGAGAAGTAACATTTTAAGAGGGGAGGACAAGCTGTACATTTACTGGCTGCCGTTGTCTAAATCGTCGTCGCGACTGAGTTTGCCTGCCAGCTACGGTTCTGAAGAACCAGAACGGATAAGTCTACTGGATACGGCCAACTCTTGGAACCTAAATCAGTAGGTAAATATATCATGGTGATGGACGATTTGTGCTAAAACTAGGGTATTTGATTTCAGTAATTATGTTCAGTAATTACGTTTAATATGAATATAACATAGTCGACACGACGACACTTCCTAAAATTTCAGTGGGAGTATACGAGCTGCAATCGTAAGGTTAGACGAAATTAATAGTATTTAAAACTATTACTGAAATGTTTCTCGCATAAATATACCAGTCGGTTATCTTGCCATCTTTCCGCTCTGTATGCGCGATTTATTCATTTGTGTGAACTGTCCTCTGCTTTTTTAACATCTCATTCTCCGTTGTCTTAACATTCTACTACCCCTCCAAAAGCCTCTCACTCGACGGATTAGAACAATAATTTGTTTCAACGACTGTTCACAATGTTTATTATATGGCGTATTATGTCCCTCTTTCGTATTTTCCTCATGTTGTGCATCTTTTGTCATTTTTAAAACAAAATTGTTGGTCTGAGGTAATTAAAGGTAACACTGAGTAATCTTCGTTACTGAAAATTGTGCGCAATGTGGGTCCCGCGATCACTCCTAAAAACACACAAAAAGCGCCGAATGGAAGTTTCTGAGGAGCTCTTGACCCTATATGAAGCTGATGGTGGTGGGTTTCTGGATCGAATAATCACTGATGACGAGCCATGAAGTAACCAGTATGAACCAGAAATAAAACGACAATCCACGGAATGGCGCGAATAAAAATACGGGTCATCTCGCCTCGTACAGATTTTTACCAGCGTGGAATGCAGGCTCTTGTTCATAGGTGGATAAAATGCATAGAAAAAAGGGGAACTATATTAAACACGTAGGGCAGTTTTCAAAAAGGTTTATTCTAGCACATTGTATTAAGATTGTTTTTAATTAACATAATTGTCAAACAAATAAATGGGGGGGGGCATTACTTTCGGAATGACCCTCGTACTTTACGCATTATTAACTTTTCTTTATCCTTGCACTACAGAAATAAAACACGCGTAAAATGCACATAAACATATGAATGTTAACACTGAAAGACCTCAATCTTTCTGAAATCATTACCTATGATTTAGGGTCCTGTGGAGGGACTTGCGATAATATTGTGGATAATTAATTCTGGAGAGGAATTTCTTTTTCATAACTCAAAATGCCGTAGTGAATATTGACCTTCACGATCGACGCCGAAGTAGTAATATTTCGGAAAGTGAAGTATGGGAAGATTTCAATATTCATGTTATTAATATATTGATCCAATTCTTTACGATGAATTAACGGATTTCCAATAACGCACTCACTGCTGTATCGGTATCGGATATTCCAGGAACTGCGTATTCTGATTTCGGGGATTTCTGGTCCACAGTGCTCGTTATTTGCTTTCATTGTTTATGTGAAACTTATGTTGGAATATTTTTAGGTGAGCGATGCTAACAGTTAGAAAGGGAGGGATTTTCGAATGTTGGGGTGTGATTTATTTGCTTTCAAATTTACGCTTTAAAGAAAATCGAATGATGCTGTTTAAGACGTTAGATAATGTACAGCCAGTACGGTTCGTCTAACTTAGTGATGTCAGATTGCAAATTAGAATTATGCATACTATTTTTTTAATAAAAGTTAATATAAGAATTTTTGAATTTCTATGCTTATAAATGTTTTATTACCTCCAAAACAACGTATTAATCGCGTAAGCTTCTAAACCGAATAGCCCGAGCGAAAACGACTGGTTCCACTCGAATCAAAATGCACACAATTACGCAGTCCTCTTTTCCCCAACTCCGCCAACGCGTTCGCCCATTAGCACCGCGCTGCGCGCGCATTCTTTCGTGCGCGTCCTCTCCGCCGCAGTCCTTTAGCGGCTGCGCGAGCGCCTCCCTTCTGCGCGTAAAAGCTCCCAACGTCGGCCCCGCGTTGGAAAGTTTAATTTACGTGATTGGAGTTCGGATTCTCGGGCGCCGGCGAGGTCGCGCGGGGCGGCGCGGCGCATTCCGACCGCATTGAGGGGCGGCGGAGCGTGGCGGCGTTTTGCGCGCGGCGCCCGGGGTTTGTTCGATTACTGTAAAGCGGCGCAGGTGGGCGGCGCAGGAGCCGCGATCGGATAATTACTGGGGACAATGGCAAAGCGCACGGGGTGCCGGCGCCGGCGGGGGCGAGAGCGGGG